GAGGAGACTTCCTGAAGACCTTGGTGACACAGAAGAAAAGGGAGACGAACACAACCAACCAAATAGGTGATGTATATGTGATGATGTTTATGTCTCTTATATAGAGACAGCTCTGGAACAGGCTGAGACTAAAATGTCTATACACAGCCAATAACACTTATTGGGTACCAATTTCTCATGACTTGTTATTACATACCATCCTTTATGAGGGCATGTATACAAAATTATATTGCAGTATGATTATGTGATCAAACAAACCTGAAGAAAGGGAGTCATCTTTATTGATCTTCATTGACCAATCTGTGCACCCTGCACACACCATGTGAATGTCCTTACAGAACTATATGTTGCTTTTTAAGTTTTGTATACTGCAGGATGAAAGAGGAGAAAGACAGTCCTGAAAAGATTCACACTCCGGGATGTTGAGACTCTGGGACCGTCTTCCATTCCAGCTTTGCGCTTGACTCTACTTCAACTACATCGAAGCTGCTTCTTTTAAAGACTTGGTTGCAGAACTTTTCCAGAACAACTAGCTTGCCTATCCAGCCTTTCAGACTCTCATGGTGAAGATATCAGCTAAGCAATGAACTTTCTCAGCACTTAGTGACTTGACAGCAAATGATGCCAGCTAGCTTTCCTATGACAAAGCCAATTTCCTTATTTCCCTTTGGGCCTCATTTCATCTACAGACAAAATATTGTCCAAAAAAGGACACACTATGCGGAATAGTCGACTGATAATCTCCACCAAGACAGGGTAATCAGCCCTTCAAAATTCTGCATTACAAAGGGCTGTCAGATGATCCTGGGCCAGAAGGGTTAAGACGATGCTCCAGCCTTTTGAAGTATAAGGGACTGTTCAGGTGATCAGCAGTCTCTATAAATTGGCTAAGTTTTGGAAGCTATGCCTTGAGCTTCTCATATTTCAAGGTAATAATAGTCATTCTTGGATTTCTGATGGGGTTGAAGACTGACAGTCTCATAGCCAACCCAAGCTGTTTAACATTAAGAAAGATGACATAGGGGCTGGAGAGATGGCTCAGTGGTTAAGAGCACTGACTGCACTTCCAGAGGTCCTGAGTTCAAATCCCAGCAACCACATGGTGGCTCACAACCATCTGTAATGAGATCTGATGCCCTCTTCTGGTGTGTCTGAAGACAGCTACAGTGTATTCATATATAATAAATAAATAAATCTTTAAAAAAAAAAAAAAAAAGAGTGTTGCATTTGCGCTAACCATTCAGGCATTGCTAAGTCTCTTATCTCTCGAGTTCATGCTGCTCAACAAACTGATGGCTTTTGTACTACAACAGACACAAATGAAACCCATACAGGTCCATTATTACAGGCTGGAAGTAGGGGACTAAAACCTCTGTCATCAAGACTGACGAGGATTAACCCTTAACTTACGCGCTAAGCCGGATAGTCAATGACGGGTAAGAGAACACCTCAAGACCCTTGCCCCTAACTGGGAGGCCTCACCATCCTAAGACAGGAGCTCAACCAATGGCTGTTGAGTATCCAGAGACGAGAAAGGGAGGCTGGGGTCTTTTGTTCCAACCTAAGGCAGGCACGGTTTCCGTAAGTTTTCCCAGCCTTCCCTTTTGAAAACAAATTTAAAAAGGGGGACCTGTTGGGAGCCGACTCTTAGCCGAAAGTGGCTATCATCTTTACAGCCATCTTGAGCCATATACCCTGACAAGAGACTTGTTTCAACAGCCTGCAATAGCTGAGCGTACTCTGATAAACATCTTGTTACACTGTTTAGTGCCCCCAGCTGCCAGGTGCTCCTGGTATCCATGGCTACAAGGCACGTGACGTAGTGGCTTCAGTTGAGATTGTCCACGAGGGCAAGTCACGTGGTAAAGGGTATAAATACCCGGATTTCCTTTCTATTGAGGAGTGAGAAGTAGGAGGTAGAAAGTAGGAGGTAGAAAGTAGGAGGTAGTAGGAAGTAGAGGAAGGAGTGAAAAGGTAAAGGGTGTCTGGAGACTGAAGGAGTGAGGAGAATATATAAAGAAGAGAGGAGAATAAAGAAGAGACTTGAAGAGACGCCACCGGACTCTGTTTTGTATGTATCTTTTGCGTCTCTCGCCCCTTTTCCCCCTTCCTCCGTCCCCACTCTCTCTCTTGCTAGACCCTGACCTGCCGACCGGAGCAGCAGAACCGGCCGGCCTTTACAAAGTAGCAGAACCCGACGGCCGTTACAAAAGAAATGGCAGTTACAAAGCTGGGCTTTGGGGGTGGTGGGGACACACATCTTTAATTCCAGCACCCAGGAGGCAGAGGCAGTTGGATCTCTGGTCTACAGAGCAAGTTCCAAGATGCCCAGGGCTACACAGAGAAACCCTGTCTTAAAAACAAAACAAAAGTTGTTGTAGGTGCTTCTGAAGTTCGCTAACGTTTAAGAAGCACGGGTCTAGGAAGTAACTAGATTGACCGTTTATCCTTTCGCTGTCATTGGCACAAGGGCTGTTTCCCCAGTCTGCCCAGAGTTGGAGGTTGCTGCTAGACCTTATCTTGTGGAAACTTGCAAGAGAGTTCTAAGTCCTCTCACTAGCTCACGCATATTTTAAAAAATGCATCTATGTATATACGTGTAATATATGTAATGCTGGTTATTGAACCCAGGGCCTCGCACATCCTAGACAAATGCTCTAACATGAGTTGTATCCTCAGTCTCTGGCTTACTCCTTATAATAGACCATGCAAGTCACTACTGAATTTAAAGTAGCAAAAGCAACATGACCATTAAGACCAAAGGGGAGAATTGTTCTTTAAACAGCTAAAAGCACTTTCTTGGTGTTTCCTTCTTCTTGCCTTCCAAGACCGGAAAGCCTTTCTAAAAATTAGCATTTGTCATTGAGACAGGCAAAGGCCTCCAGTGACTTTCTGCAGTGGCATTTCATTGCATTGAGAATGTCTGGCTAACCTCCGAGGACTCGGCTGGAACCTGCCCTGGCGTCATGAGACAGGAAATCTGTTTTGACTGACTCAGTCAATGCTTAACTTGGGCCGTGTTCTGTGGTGCCTAAAGCCTCCGCTGCACTTGGCCAAGACGCTGGAGCCTGTCAGGGTTCATGTTCTGGATCAGTGATTTACAATAGGGACAATCTGAAGATCAGGGCACATTTTTCTGGCTAGTGTCACTCAGCTTTGAGGACGGAGGTGACAGAGCCTCATGTTAGAAGAATCCTTGCTTAAAACCCTGACCAACCTAGCCTCATACTACCACAATATATTCTTGTCAGATACCCACAAAGAGTGATATTAAATATCAGAATGGGGCTGGAGAGATGGTTCAGCAGTTAAGAGCATTGGTTCCTCTTCTAGAGGTCCTGGGTTCTATTTCTAGCAACTACATGGTGGCTCACAATTGTCTGTTAAGTACAGTTCCAGGGGATCTAACTCCCTCTGTTGGCCTCAGATGTACATGCTGGTAAAACACCCATACACAGAAAATAAAAATAAGTACATCTTTAGAAATAATAAAGTCAGTATAAAATTATTTTTGAGTAGAATGTCAATGGAAAGAAATACTGGAAGATAACAGGAAAGATCAAAACCTTCCACTTAAGGAGACAGAGTCAGTGCTGTTTCACAGTTTGGTAGTGACCACAAGAGGGTAGATATTAATTTGCTGTAATGCTAAAGTGAGATTGGTATTCATTAAGGGATCTCATTTTTTTTTGTTCCTCATAATCGCTTAAAGAGCAGAGTTCTGTTACCAGCACCTGAAGCAGAAAAGGATGCCAGGCACTGAGAGGTGAAGGTGGTTGTCGCCTGCTACATAGTTCAAGTTCAGTTTAGTAGCACAGACCTGCAGCTGTCTACCTGGGCCATGCACTCGCTTGTGACTTTAGGAGGACAGGAAAAAGAAAAAGTGCCCCTCTGTGCTTCACGTGGTTTGGGTTTCAGAGCCCAGGCTGGAGTTCAGCCCGTGGGCTCCCTCTGCTGTACACTCTGTGTACAACAATAAGCGCATGGCTTATGTCTGGCCTGGAACCCACCCTTAGGGGTTTCCACTTCCACTTCTGCAAGAAACAAAGAGGATTGCTGCATGATGACACCTCGAGGCAGTATGGGGCAGGGGCAGCGGGATTTCTGTGAGTTCCAGGACAACCAAAGTCACACATTGAGACTGTCTCAGAACACACAAGCAAAACCAAAACTAAAACCAAAAAAACCAAACCAAACCGAAACAAAACAAAACAAAACAAAACAAAACAAAACAAAACTAAAAGCAGTAAGGATAAGGGACAGTTCAGCTGCCAGGGCCCCAGTTGACTCCAGGTAGTAATATGCCTAGGTGCCCTCAAAAGAGCCTAGAGTCTAATTCAGTCTCTGAGCTATGTCTTGTCTGCCTCTACACCTAGTGGTCCTAGGCTCAGGATTTCATAGAACTTTCATAGAACCACCTTGTTTTTGAAGGAAGCCACCACCAAGGCATACTGTTTGTTTGAGAAAGAATCTCTCTGTAGTGTTGGCTGTCCTGGGACTAAGTAGACCAGACTGGCTTTGAACTCCCAGAGATCTACCTGTCTCTGTCTCCTGAGTACTAGAATTAAAGGCCTGTTCCTCTATGCTAGGCGTATCAAGGCATTCTTGCCAGCCAGGGCTCCGGATGACAGCAGCGAGGTCTCTAAAGTCGTTAGGAAGGTCCTGCTTTCTCGCACTAGCATGTCTGTAGGCATGCTCACCTCTATGAAAGCAGGAGACAGAGAAGGGCAGACGCTTGGGGTGGGGGTGGGGTTTGCATGAGTCCGGAAGTCTCTGCTCTTGTATCAGTCTGCAGTCTCCAGAGGAAAGAAATCCTTAAATAATGGAAGAACAGAAAGCATGTGGCCCGCATTTGCAGACAGTCAGAGCATTCTGCTTCTAGCTCCCAGTTCACGCTTTGAAGGGAAATGGAAAGGCTTCTTTGTTAATGGGTCGGACAGCACGGAGTTCTACCTGGGCAGTCACAGTGATAGTGTACATGAATCGACAGCTGACTCTACCTTGGCTGTCTTCGGCATTTCCTCTGAGGGGTCCTCCTGGTTTTTCATGAGAGTCAAGTTCATCTCCACGTTCCTATTGGATTTACACACAGAAGAATAATGAGACAAAATAAATGTAAACTCCCCTCTGTCCATGCCCTTAGGATAAAATGGACTGAAGTGTCCTTAGTTGTCTCCCCCACCTCCTTTTTTTTTCTAGTGGTGCTGGGAATTATTATTATTATTGGATTTTTGAGACAGGGTGTCATTATGTAGCTCTGGCTGTCCTGGAACTCACTCTGTAGACCAGGCTGAACTCACAGAGATCCAGCTGCCTCTGTCTCCAGAGTGCTGGGATTAAAGGCCTGTGCCACCAATGCCCCATGCTGCTGGAGATTATAATCAGGATGTCTTCCCATGCCATGCAAGCTCTGCTGCAGAGTTACCGCTCCAGCCTGTCTTCTCTGTCAGCTGCTTTCAGCTTAAGCGTCCAGAGATCAGCTTTAAGGAGCCAGGTGGGCAGAGCAGTGCATAACACTGGAGCTTTAGTACCACTGAGCTCCATGCTGCCTGGTTTATCGATGTCTACTGAGAGAAGGGAAAAAGGATGTCACAGGCTAAAGCTGGCAGGTGGGAGGGTGCCGAGCACCTCTAGGAACTTAACAGAGCTGGTAGGAGATTGAGTAAAGGCTGAGAGAAGGGGGAAGGTTGGGGAGGAGTCACAGTCTCCAAAGCAGGGTAAGGATCTCATCCTTTATCTTGAGGACAGATATAGATGCCACTGAAGGATCTAACACCGAGCAAAATCGGACTCTGTGGGGTAGTGGGTTTTAAGGGGTCTTGTTCCATCCTGCAGTTGGATCAAGAACCCTTGTTCTCTAACAACTGAAGGGCAGCTCCTTAGCAACCAAAAAGCTGTAGCAGGTGGAGCTGGCGAGGGAGGAGAGACCCCGTGCTGTTGAATGAGGTTGATTCCACCCTTTGCCTCAGCCTTTAATGGGATTACATTCAGTGATACAGCTGTGTAGAAAGAATCTCTATTTACCTGTCAATAAAAAGCTGATGGCCAATGAGCTGAGGCAGGATTAGAAGGTGGGACATTCAGTAGGAAGATTGGGATTCTGGGATAGTCAGACACCAGAGAGCTTCCCCCAAACTCTGAGAAAGACAGTTGCATAAAACTGAGGAGAGGTAGCCAATCACATGGCATAAAACTGAGGAGAGGTAGCCAATCACATGGCATAAAACTGAGGAGAGGTAGCCAATCACATGGCAGGGCTTAGAACTAAATAAGCAGGGTAACTGAGTCGGGAATGAGCCAAAGTTTTTGGCGCGGGCAATTATTCATAATACTTCAGCCTTAGAGTCATTAGTTCGTGAACTTGGGTGCAGGTGGCCGTAGGACCCCAGAGGGCTGCTATGCCCTGGCTGAGCCTTTCTGTATGCTGCTGTCTACTAAGTAACGTTCTGCGGTTCCTCTAGGATCAAAACATCCTGACTAAGGCATGGTGTCCCAGGAAGGGAATTTACACTTGACATCCTATTGCCCCCCAGTTGACTTCCTGTTTTTTCCTGAGTTTGTATTTTTCCTTCCCTGGCTTGGTGTATATATTGAACCTGCCCAGTAAAGGCATTGGCATTCTCCCACAACAGATGACCCGAGTATGAGTATTTCTTTAATCCCCCAGGCCTACGCCTGAGCTCAATACCGCCGGAGCTGTCAAGTAGAGGTTCCACCGAGATCTGGAAAGAGAGGAGAACCTGACAGGATCATTCCTGGAAGAGGCTGGCCGGCCAGCTTAGTGAGTAGAACGTATTGGAGAAATGGTGTGGGACCAAACTGAAAGTAGTAAGTAGCACTAAGAGAGTTTGATCGTTTGGTTGCACCATGGGAACTAGCAGTTCCTCCCTACAAGTAGTGGCACCAGATGATGCAGCCAAGAAATCCGTGCATGAGGTGGAGAATAGCTCAAGTTCTGAGGATGAGGGAGAAATTTTAGAAAAGGAAAAATTGAAGAAATGCAAGGTCAAAAATTTGGAACGGGAGCCTGGAAAAGGGGAAGTGAGAGTGGATGAGCTACTCAGTCACCCCGGTGGCGGTGGTGGCAGCCGGGATGGCACGATGGCCAGGTCAGGGGCATTTCTGCTGCTGCAGCAGTAGTGGTGGCGGGCAGCTGCAGGAGTTGCAGAGGCTGTGGTCTGCAACAGCCATGCTGAATAAAAACAAGAAAGAGATTGAATCATCAGAATTTGTGAAGATCATAGAGCCTCTTTTCCGACAGTCAGCCAAATGCGTTTCCAGCCCTCACTTACAGGTGGCAGAGCAGGCACTCTATTACTGGAATAATGAATACATCATGAGTTTAATCAGTGACAATGCAGCAAAAATTCTGCCCATCATGTTTCTATCCTTATACCACAATTCAGAGCCCTCCTGGGATATGTCCTGCTTTCTTTCTGGCTCCTACTGGAGAAATCCTTAGTTCTGCTTTCCCTGTCTATTGTCTGTCCTTGGCACGCCAATCCGTTAATTGTCTGGTTTTGTTTCATTGTTTTATGTTAAAAAAGTGTATATTGGGTATGATTAAAAATTCAACTTTGGCCAGGCGGTGGTTGTGCACGACTTTAATTCCAGCACTTGGGAGGCAGAGGCAGGCAGATTTCTGAGTTTGAGGCCAGCCTGGTCTACAGAGTGAGTTACAGGACAGCTAGGGCTATACAGAGAAAACCTGTCTCAAAAACAAAACAAAACAAAACAACAACAAAAAAAATTCAACTTTGATAATAGAAATTTGGTTTAACTAGTAACTCAGGGCTGGAGAGATGGCTCAGCTGTTAAAGGCCAGGCTATAGAAAGAACACATTTAACTTTAAAAAATTATCTTGAAAAAACAAAACAGGGAGTTTACCTCACCTCATGCAAGATTATCCTTTATTTTGTATATTTTAATTTTTTTTATTAGTGGATACGGATGCATTGTCTGCAGCAGACAGACATTGGAAACGAGTCCAGAAGGCACTGGGCTTAGTGAAATGGAAAGAATTGTCATCAGGTATATGGAAAGGCCCTGACCCTGTATTAGTCAGGATGAGAAGTTCTGTTTGTGTTTTTCCTAAAGATGCTGAAAGTCCTGTTTGGATTCCTGAGTGTTGTGTGCACCCTGTCACTACGCAGCTTCACCCAAGTGGAGATCTACTGGAGCGTTGTGAAGAACCACCCAGTCCGGATGTCAATGGGGATAAGCAGCTTGATTTGACTGGTCACAGCTCCCACCAAGACTACTGGAAAAACTGCTACTAATTCTGAGAAGCCAACAATTTCTTTATGTTAATATTAATGTTACTTGTGTGCAGCCTCTTTATGGAGAGAAGTTTCTAGCAGGACTCAAACTGACCAGAAGGCTCCTTAAAGGATGGGCTAGAGGTCCTTGTCTCTGGGAGTCCTAGCCTTTGGGGCAGCCACAGCAGGACTGATATTTCTTTGCCACCTTCACAGACAGCAGATCCAGTCCCAGGCAGTTACTAAGCAGGTGCTCGTGTTGCTGGCACGAGAGAACCCTTCTGCCCAGGTTTGGCTCAGCATTTACTGAGAATAGTCAGTCAATGATGGACAACTCCTTCGCAGTCCTTACCTACCTAAGACAGGGGCCCTGAGGCTGGCAGGGATTCCCAATGACAGGTATTGACAGAAGGTGACCTAAGATAGACGCTATTTGCCTATAAAATAAAAGCGGGGGAACTGTAGGACCCTGAAGGGCTACTATGCCCTGGCTGAGCCTTTCCGTATGCTGCTGTCTACTAAGTAACATTCTGGGGTTCCTCTAGGATCAAAACATCCTGACTAAGGCATGGTGTCCCAGGAAGGGAATTTACACTTGACATCCTATTGACCCCCAGTTGAGTTCCTGCTTTTTCACATCCTGACTAATACATGGTGTCCCAGGAAGGGAATTTACACTTGACATCGTATTGTCCCCCAGTTGTCTTCCTGAGTATTTCTTTAATCCCTCAGGCCTATGCCCGAGCTCAGTACTGCAGGCAGTGCCAGAGCTGTCAGGTGGCAAAGCCAATGGTTACACAGCTGGATTGAGCCACTGCAAGCTCTGTACTGTGGAAGTCCCTCCAATAGTCCTACCCTTTAGTGGGACTTTTCTACTGGTTATTAAATTGCCCACATTGGGAAGAGAAAATTTATCATTTACTAAGGCAGTGGTTCTCAACCTGTGGGTTTTGACTCCTTTGGCAGTTGAACAACTCTTTGACAGGGTTGCTTGCCTATGACCATTGAAAAACACAGATATTTACATTAAAACTCATAACAGTGGCAAATACAGTTATGAGGAAGCCATGAAATAATTTTATAGTTGGAGTCACAACATGAGGAACTGTATTACAGGGTCGCAGCATTAGCAAGGCTGGCAAACGCTGTGCTAAGGCTTTTTGCTCAGTACCCCTCTGTGTTTTTTCTTCACCTGCTGGGTTTCTTTCTTGCTGGCCTAGTGCTTAGAGCTGCCAAGATCTGCTGACGTGAAATGCTAACGGGGCCAATAACTGTCCTTCCTGTGGATTTCTCAGATGTGTCCAGTATAGTAAAAATAAAATAAAAATAAATAAGTAAAAATTTAAAAAGTCCCCAAATAAGAGAAAAGCTAAAACAAACAAACAAACAAACAACCAAACAAGAGCCACCCAAACATGGAAAAGTCCAAACTAAACACTGCACAAAACCCTTCCTCAGTCATTGTAAACCACTGAGTTAGAAAACTAAAAAACTATCAGTTTTTCCCTCCTTGTTTATAATGCCTTTCACTCTATCAGGAAATAGGATGGCAAGAGAGAAACAAGCTTCTTGTATTGGAAGAACTTCAAATGCAGAAAAATGGCTGGTCTCAACAACATGCATACCTGTTCCTGCAGGGGTGAGGAGTATGCTTCCCATTTCTTTTTTTTTGGGGGGGGGGGTTTCGAGACAGGGTTTCTCTGTATAGCCCTGGCTGTCCTGGAACTCACTCTGTGGACCAGGCTGGCCTCGAACTCAGAAATCCACCTGCCTCTGCCTCCCAAGTGCTGGGATTAAAGGCATGCGCCACTACT